CAAAGTTGTCAAATGTTATTCATTTTACTTTTTTTTTTTTTTTTTTTTAACCTTTCCTTCTACTTTTTCCTAATGGAATGCATCTGCTACTTGTGCATTTCTTAACGTAAGCGCCGCACAACAAGAACCTACTTGAGGTCCAACCACGCCTCCAGGTCCTGGTGGTCCGGTCTTTCCTTGGAAGCCCTGAAAGGAAAAGTATCAGCTCAATTTTATCCAAAGTCATCAGGGTAGATTGTGAGCTTCGCTGGTTAACTCGGCCTCATGCAAAGAGCAGACAAGATACGTGTTACACAAACTAATCAACCGTCCACGCAACTTTAACAGTCTGCATTTATCTGGATTGATTTTATTTTGCTTGTTTGAGAGGCAACAACGATGAAAAACTCCCGACTTCAAAACAATCATGCTAGATTGTTATCTTAGCTGGCTAACTAGATAGAAGATTGTGATGGACCAGTCAGCATTTCCAGGGATGTAGTTTAGCCAAAGGTGGATTGGGAGTTCAAGGGGGATTAAGATTAACACTAACCGTCTCTCCTCTCTGTCCTGGGTGACCTGGCAGCCCGTCTTTTCCTGGGGGGCCCTACAAGTAGGGTGCAGGACCAAATAGAGATCATCATTAAAAAAAAAATGTATATATTAATACGAACATTGTGATGGCAATTACTTACATTGGGTCCCTTTGGTCCGGGGAAGCCGACAGGTCCTTGTGGTCCTTGAGGACCCTTTAATGAGAAGAAGTGGTCGGTAAATTGAAATACAGTTTCATGATGTTTTTTTTTTTTTAATCCGTCCATCCAATTTCGATATAATAATCTATATACTGACATGTAAAAACTAACACAAGTTAAAAAAAGAAAGTATTTGGAAAAAATAGATGTTGATTTCAGTGGATTCTTTGATGGGGATAGGGATTAGGCCCGTCCGTCCATGTAAAAAAAGAGGATAGGGTCGCTAAAAAAATTTGCACATAGGTGAATCTGTGAATGCCGAAATGCTAATATGCAGGGATCTAACGTACAGTGTATTGGATCGCAGAATCAAAGCCACCCTTATCAATACAGTATATTTGTCACTTTCAGTAGTGAGGCAATCGAAGAAGAATTTCCCGCAGGCGTACTTTGTGGACAAACATATGAAGACAAAAAATAATAATAATAAAAAAAGTGAAACACGAACCCTCTCTCCGGGTGGTCCTGAAGGTCCATCATTGCCGGAGGTGCCCTGAGGGAGGACAAAAAGATAACACCCAATTTCAGCTTTCGCAGTTCAAGGTCACATTCAGACCTCACGTAATTCATACATGAATTGGCTTATCACCTTTGCTCCTGGTTTTCCTGTAGGCCCTCTGGCACCACGCCCACCGCGTGGACCCTACACACACACACACACACACACACACACATTTTGCTGTCATCGAAGGAACTAAATATTGTCCTGAAAATACGTAGGCAATGAATGCACCGTGTCCCCCAACCAATTTGATCCCACCCCCTCCAAAATCAAAACACCACTGTCATTGTTGTTTGAAGCAACATAAATCATTCATGATTCAGATGCATGAAATTGCCTACCGTCGGGCCGCGTTGGCCTCGAGGTCCGGATTTGCCAGCAACTCCCTGACAGAAACAACAAACAACACCAAAACAAGCTTCAAATTAGGGGCAAGTGCAAATAAAATTTAATGACTTTGCACAAGAGAATATGAGCATCTTGAGACAAACAAAGGGTCAAGGTGTTTGATATGAATATCACATATCCCACTGGCAATTTGTGGGGAACAAAGCTAAAAACATTGTTAAAAATAAATAATTGCAAAATACAATTCAAATGTGAAATAAAGTGGTTGATATAGAATCTATGTCATCAATGATTATTTTCAACATTGGAAGGGCTGTTAGCTGGGCTTTCCTTGAATATAAAACAAAACTGACCCTTGCGCCTTTCTCGCCATTGGATCCGGCGAAACCGGGGAAGAAAAAACATTGTTAAAAATAAATAATTGCAAAATACAATTCAAATGTGAAATAAAGTGGTTGACATAGAATCTATGTCATCAATGATTATTTTCAACATTGGAAGGGCTGTTAGCTGGGCTTTCCTTGAATATAAAACAAAACTGACCCTTGCGCCTTTCTCGCCATTGGATCCGGCGAAACCGGGGAAGCCATTGGAGCCCTGCGAGAAAAACACAAAGAGCAAATTGGAAAGCAGCACAGGTAAAATAAAAAAAATAAATAAAGTAACAATTAAAAAAAAAACAAATACAGGGTTACATTTAAATCAAAGTTAGCATGTTTTACAAATAATTGCAACATTTAAAAACACAATAAATTAAGGAATACAAGAAGTAAAAATAAAAATACAGTACACATATGAAAATTAAGACTAGATGCAAAATTAATTAATTAAAAAAACTGACTTAGGAGTAAATGTAGCCGGTTTTCCATTCTAACAAATACCTAAAAAAAACATACAGTAATTAAAAATGTAAAAAAAAAACTTGCTCATTGGAGTGCAAGAAAAATTCTCTCACAATTGGTGAAAAACTAACTGAATGAACTATATGTCTGTCAAAACTTAATTTCCAGCCAGTCAGGTTTACATTATGAAATTATGAAGTGCATGTCAGTTAAGTGGATTTTCCACATACTTTAGAACCTTGTCTTCCAGGGTATCCGGGCAAACCGGGCACTCCAAGCTTTCCCTAAACAACAGAGGAAAACACAAATCTTTAAAACAAAGTCATCTTCAATTTGGACTTCAGTCTTGGCATCTGATCGGTTGCTTTACCTTCTCTCCAGCTGGACCGATGGGACCGGAATCTCCGTTGGGTCCCGATGTGCCCTTGGGGCCCTCGGGTCCGTCTTCTCCGCGGGGTCCTGTTACACCCCCCTCACCCTGGATGTCCCCCCAAACAAACACTTCTTAATGTTTGCTTTAAATTTTAGTTTTGAGACGTCCTGCTGAAAACATTTGGAAAAAAAAAATTACCTTGTCGCCCTTGAGCCCCATATCGCCTTTGAAGCCAGGGAACCCATCTTCTCCCTATATGGAATTAAATGCATGAATATGTTGATGATACTCTATAGTTTGTAAAACAGCACATTGCAGGAACACAAGAAGAATGTATGTTTGCCGACAGTGCCCCCCAGTGGCAATTTGGATTAAAGCAGATAAACCACGTTAGAGTTCACATCTGCGTTACTCTATTGCCATCTGGTGTTATGAAAGAAAAGTGCAGCATCGTGGTTCTGAAACTAATGGGAATACAGTACTGTATACTAGAGTGAGCGGGAATTGTCACTTTCAGGAAAGAAAAGGTAAAACGTTGTGGGGAAAAATACATATAATATGAATTCAAAATCTATTAAGTCAATGGTGATGCTTAAAATGAACAATGAAATGAAGCAATATCAGAAAAAATATGAATAAAATACAGGAAAATATTCAAAATAGTTTCTACTACAGCAATAAAATCCCGCCAAAATTTAAGCAATAATAAATATCATCCCCCAAAATATCATACAAATAATAAATTTAAAAAAATCTACATTTCTGATATTCAAAATATTCTGTTTGGCAGTTTGCAAAAAACAAACACATTTCCAGTTGCGATTGTTCATGGTACAATGTATTATTATTAAAATTAGTCATAATTTAATAGAATCAAAATATTCATGTAAGAGCATATAGTTTGCAAAAATACTGCAGCACCAAAAAAAAGTACATGAGGAGAATGTAATACTTTAGATTTTTTAAAAATATTAATTTTGGTTCATTTCAACATTGCAGTTTGTAAAATAATTGGCCATTCCATCAATTTCCAGTCATTTCCAATGCAATGTCATGAAAAATCTCCAACTGCATGGAAGGTTTCCAGAAACTTGCCCGATATGTAATTTAAAAAAAACAAACATTTTCACAATGAACTGTAAAGTTGAGGTATTTCTTGGCAAAGCAGTACTGTATGTAACCGCACAGTAAATCTTGGTGCTTGCATTGGAAAGTCTCAAACGACACAAGGTGGCCAAATCCATTCAAACAATCGAATCCCCAAACTTTTCTTTGTTCAAATGTGTGGTTGGGGCCTTCCAAAAAAGTGCTTCCCATTCCTCGTGATTCGTGGTTGTCTACACAATCAATCTTTGCCAATATCAGAACTGCTTTTTTTGGAAGACATAAAATGTATGTTTACCTTTTCTCCTTTGCCACCTTTCAGGCCTCGGATTCCCTCTGCTCCCTGGATAAAACCGCAAATCAAGTTAGATCTTAACTTAGGGGATATTTGTCAGTTTTGTCCAAAGTGTGATGAGCGCTCACCTTAACGCCACGAGGTCCGGGGTAGCCGATGGATCCCATTGGTCCGGGGAAACCCTGAGGATGAGGAAAAAGTGTTATTTATTTGAGTTTATTTGATACATTTCCATTGATTTCCCAGAAGTATGTAACAAGTTACACATGTGGAAAAGACTGACAAGAATCTGAACTCAATTATACACAGTGAAAAAGTCAGGTGAAATGCTCTCATATTTAGGTCACGCAAAATGTGTTCCATACACTGTGCATCATAGGGACAAGTTGGGCAGTGGGCCACAACATCCACCAGATGGCAGCGTGATTTAAAAAAAAAAAAAGCCTGTTATTTTTAGCAGCAATAAATTCAGTGCAATTTTTTTTTTTTTTTTTTTTTTTGGTCACTGACCACTCTCTGACTGTCCCCTTTCCAGCTATGTGGGGGCTGCGGAATTCTCCGTCAACCAAACAGCCAAGAGAGCTTGACTGGATTTTTTTATCGGGTGGAAATGATTGTGCCTCATGTATTCTGCCTAGTAACAAGTGACTCGGGAAAGCATCCAAGTAATTCTGTCAATACAAGTTGCCTGCCAGCTGACTCAGGCCATTATTTTAAGAGACTGACGTTATATGTTTAAAATATTATATTTTGAGAAATCTGATGAATGAATGACAAAATACAAGCATATGTAAAAACAACAATAAAAAACATATATACATACATACATACATAGATACATACATACACACACACACACACACACACACACACAACACTTACAGCTGCTCCTTTCTCGCCTGGAGGACCCTCTTTACCAGGGTGACCCTAAAAACAAACAAACAAACAAAACACTTCCTTAGCTGAATATAATATTATTCGTTGCCATTTTGTACAGATTGAGGAGGGACTTTACTTACAGGAGGTCCATCAGCACCAGCAAGACCGGCCAAACCCTGTTTTCCTTGAGGTCCCTACATTCATGTGATAGACAGCGCGAGAAGGCAGGAAGTTAAAAATACAGGAAAACCTTAAAATTCATCTTGGTATTTGTAAAACGACCCAATCTCTAATCAGAAAAAAAACAAGGTCTTAAATGCTGCGTCACAAGCTGCAAGTTGATGCTATCATCTCCCAAGACTTCAGCGAACATCTTCAGGATGGATTCACTCTATTTTGTTTTTCTTGGACTTTTTTTGAGGCCTCAACAACAGAGTGCTGCCGAGAACAAAGAGGAAACGTGTGATGAACGATTATTAATTCGCCACAATTCCCAGCTGATCAGCCGCTAACAGCTAAAGTAGATGAAGAGTATCCTGTATGTAGACATAACACAATATCTAGAAAGAGTATTTCCACTAGGAGTGTAGGAAAGTAGTCATTGGGATTTTTCTGGGTTGCGAGGCGCCCTCACACTTTTTTATTTTCAAAACCAAGTCATAAATAAGCTGTTTGAAGTCAAATGTTAATCAAGCGCTTTGGATCATACATTGGGATGTATTTAGTGTTAAAACTATTCTTCAGAAATGTTTGGGATTCACCGCTGGTCTGCCTATAGCGATGGTTCACTTTAGTTCCTGAAAATGCAAATTTTAGAGGTTCTACTGAAGTATTGTGTGTAATTCTATGGCTTTAACCTCAAAGTTGTGTAATGTGAGGCGTGCAGAGTCAGACGAATGCAACCACTTGAGGCTTTCTTCCGCGGCAGCACATCTGCTGGAGCGCTTTTAAGTGAAAATCAACTTTTGAGGCAGGAGGGAGGGACTACTCACTTTTTCACCGGGAGGCCCGATCGGACCTTGAGGCCCAATGAGACCCTGAAAAAGAAGGCGAGAGAGAGAGAGAGACAGAGTGGGTTTTACACACAACGTGCAAAAAAAAGAGCACCTGTCAAGTCTGTTTCCCGTTTTAATTTGCTGATTTTTACCGCTTCATTGCTTCCACATTGGAAGTACTTTAGCAGTGTTTATTCAGACGCGCTCAGCCGGCCATGCAAATGGACTTTTATTATTATTTCCGCAAGTCGCTTGATTTCACTCCCGGGGCTTCTATCCGTGAAAAGAATAAGCATTTAGGAACATATTTGACATTTTATTTTCCCTCCATCGAAAAAAAGGCAAGCTCTCTTGTCCAGAAGCCACTTTGACATTCCTTCTGCTGCTGGATGAACAGATATGGAAAGAAAAAAACGGTGTAAAATATCCATGTCTTGCATTTTAGATGTGTTTCTTTCTGATGTAAAGTAAACCTTTTGTTTGAATGTGCATTTTTCATGAAAAACAATTGAATTATCGCACTCACGCATGATGTGTGAGGTCAATCTGACCCTGGGTACCTTTAATTACCCACAGGGCTTTCCTTCTCATCTCTACATCTGAAATGATGCATTCCAAGGTTGCTTTTTTTTCTCAAGAGGATTAAAAAAAATTGGATACTGACAAATGCAGGCTACGGTCATTTAGTAAATAATTTCAAATTAGAACCATCGTGTTATGTTGCGGGTCAAATTGAGTTGGTAGTCAAACATTTGTTTTTTTTAAGTTAGACGATTTCATCTTGTTTCCAACTATTTGCAGCTTGAGTTAATAAAGAGCGCTAAACTTCTGCAAAACAACAGCGAAAAAAAGTTGCCTGAGTGCTTGACAAATGACCCGTTGACAAATAAAGTCAAACACTCAAGGCTGTATGAAATGAACCGTTTTCATTACATATACTGATGTTTGATTTGACTGTTTTGCAACTGTTATAATGAATAAATACTACCGATATAATTATAGAGTTTAAAAAAAAACGTGTGAATCTATTGGTTGACATAAATTTCATGAATTCTCTCATTGAAGAATGTAATGTAAGACACTAAATATTGATTGAAATTGTTTGTGTTAGAGTTCATTAAAAAAACAACCAATATTTATTGAGCTTTTCTGACACTTTTTGGATGATTAAAAAAAGTCTCGGGTCAATGAGACCCAGGGACATTATATTGCTATTCCTCCTGAGAAGTGAACCGAAGTCAACTCCTCGTGTGAATTTTGTCGGGCTGAAAAAAACAAAGGGGGAGGAGATAAGAGTGCAAAGTGTTCGCGCAGACGTCGGATGGGTAAAACAGACGTCTGAGGAGGAGAATAAAGAAAGAAGCGAGGGGAAGAATTTCAGGCATCGGAAGCCATCATGTTGAGTTAGAAAACAGAGCACGCAGATGCACGGACGAATAGATGGATGGAGGGAGGACTTACGTGAGGACCAGGCACACCCTGCTGTCCGGGAGGACCGGGCTCTCCTTGTACACCCTAGAACATCAGAAGAAGAACCTCGTTCACATTTTTATTTGACTGTGTTGTTTGCAAAACGAGATCGGGTTGTTGCTGGGACTTGTCCTATGAGGGCCACCAGAGTGAATGCGTTCGTTGAGGAATAACCTTATTAAACGCCTTTGGGGTTAAACTTAAAAGACAATAGAGTACCGCCTTCGCTTTTCAGATGAAACACAGACAACGTGTTGAGAAAAGACACTTTGGGTGACTGCAGGCATGTTTTTATGATTGCGAAAGACTTATTTTTCCTTGCTGCAAATCAGGGTCAGATGAGCTTGCAATGTTGGAATAAACCCCAAAGACAATCCCGCCTTCACTTTTAAGACAAACTCGTAATAAACTATCGACACTTTGGACAACTGGCGCTTCCAACTTGCCGGAAACCATTTGGCGAAAGCCCTTTTATTGTTGCAAAATACTCGAAAGGCAAACCAGCAAGCTCAATGACAGTGACTCGTGACCTCAAAGAAAGACAAATAGACGTGACTTTTCTTGGATGACTTGGTGTTTAAACATCTTACATTTCACAATGAGGTGCCTAATAGGTACAGTGTGTGTTACTGTAACATCTGGGAGCGTAATACAATTTGCTTTTTGTTTCTCCCTCCTTTCTGTCTTTAAATGTGTCACAAACCACACGCAGACAGAAAAAAAACTCCCAGAGACGAAACTGCTTCACATGTTCTCAGCTTAATATAAACATGTCGCGACAACTTTGATGGAAAAGAAGGCTAACAAGGCGTCAGTGTAAGCCCTGTGCGAGGACAATGAGGCCTCATAGAGATTAAGCAAATAACACGTTGGCTTTATGAATATCTTCGTGTCAGTGACTCAGTGACCACACGTGGACTTGTTTAGGCTTCTTGACTAGTGACCCGACCCCAATGCAGCTTCCCGGTGAGACCCTCACAAAAGCGGACGTCATTCTCCTCCTCCTGACAGGTCTTTGCACTTGGTAGTTTAAAAAAAGAAAAAAGGTTTCCCAACAATTATATTACTCTGTAATATGAAAATTAACTATGACTTCTGTTATGACATATGATGATGAAGTGAACACTCTGATGGTCTTGACACAAGTAGCTCACTGCAATCCTTGGGTAAATATGACTAAAAATAAAAATCACACACACCAAGGAGAAAACAAAATATGGTCCTCACCATGTTTCCTTTGGGACCCGCTTGACCGTCAAGTCCAGGAAGGCCCTGCAGGGAAAAGGGTGTGATAGATCAGAGCATTTCTCCAGAGAGCGATGCAAGCACGATGATACACTGATGTGCGGTGTACGTACACGTTGCCCTGCAGGCCCCGCCGAACCTCTGGGGCCCAGCAAACCTCGAGGACCCTGTGTGGCGAAACAAGTACACAATTTTGAATAAGAGAGCAAAGAAGACTATGAGTCACATTGCATTGAGTAAAACTCGAAAAGAAAAAAAAAACAATTTGAGTATAATCGTATGAACTAAAAAAACAAGAGTGCATAAAACAGAAAAAAGTGATGAAAACAAAGTAACAAAAAAAGAGAAGGACATAAAAACCAAGTAAACAATAACAACGAGTAAGGAACATTTGAATACAAGAACAACAACAACAACAACAACAAAAAAGTCAAGTCAACTTTAAAAAAAAATCTAAAAGAGCAAAGGAGTGAGGAACAAAAACCCAAAAATAAAAATAAAAACAAAGTTAAAGGAGGAAAGAAAGCAAGGAAAAGCAGAACAAACTTGAATAAAAATTCCACGAAAACAATACAGAACCTGGACTAAACGAACAGACACGTAAATAAATGGTCGTTCTTGGAAACGTCATCTAAATTGAAACGCGCTGCGTTTATTGGCATCATAAAACTGTGGGAATTTGGAGCGCTCTACAACTATTGTGCTCATAAATACTGACCTCGTGTGGTCATTATGGGTATCGCCCACTACGTGAAGCCGGCTCTATTTGGAGACTTATAATCAAGTGTCTGCGCGTCCGTGTGCATGCGTGTGCGTGTGCTGTCATCACACATACAATAAATACAGTATGAGACTTTCTGCTCTCACACACATAGTTTTTGGTTTTGATGGCCAAAACGGTGTGTTTGACAGATTGATTTGCTGCCGCGAGTCAGACTTATAGCGCCACATTTTCTTTTCAGAAGCCAATAAATCCACTTACGGCCTCTCCAGCCACACCTCTCTGTCCAACCTGGCCGTCTTCCCCCTGCGGAGGCAACGAGAGGGCTTACTGGCAAGAAAACACAAAGGGGGGTGGGGGGGGGGTAACGTTGGAATTGGAGGGGACGTGCTGAATACTCACTCTTGGCCCGTCTTCTCCTGGAGGTCCTGGAGGCCCTGTCGGACCATGCTCCCCCTGGAGAAAAGAGGTATCAAAGAAAAGTTAGCGAAGCAAAGCAGGGTTGGGGTTTGCAGGCTCACAGCTGGGGCAGAGGAAGGAAAAAAGCCGATGACTCGGCAATTACCAAACGATGCAAAGACGTGACCACATTGGGTAGAATATGCTTCCCTGTATTTAGACGTCCCCTATACGTCCTTTAATTACGCCATATAGGATGGAATTGACGTCTGAAGATACTTCCTTGGTGATTTTTAAAGGACTCTTCCACGGCCGCCGCCCTGGCCTTTCTTTTTTTCTGAGAAATGGGAGCATCAACCCCACAACACCGCTTTGGAAACAACATCTGAGGTGGATCAGATGCTGTTTTTAAAAAGTGTCCTTGCGTGACACTGCGGGTCACGTTTGAAAATCGAAAATATTGAACCCTTCTCTTATGTTTCTATGCGATACAAAATGGCCACCATCGTGGACTAGAGAAATAATCGCAGCTAGAAATAATCCAGCAAAAAATAGTCATGCATGGGCACACGCGCAATGTAATACGATATATACGATAATACGATATTGATCATTCATTTGATCGATTATTAAGGCTAAACACCTCTTTTACAATTAGAAATAATCCAAGCAGGCACGTCAAATGACAAATTGATTGCTCATCTCACCAGCTATTCATGACGAACGTCATCTTGTACAATAGAAATGAACACAGCTTGAAATTATCGTAAAGTAGTTAAAGAATACAGTGATACTCACCCGATGGCCCTTCTCGCCGGGGAGACCGGGAAGGCCGTCGAAACCTCGGTCACCCTGGAAAGACGGTGATGTCACGACAGGTGTAACAACGCCTACGATGATAAATCATGAGTGTATGCGTGAATGACGGTACCTTGGTCCCGGGCTCTCCTGGCATTCCTCGTGAACCGTCAGCTCCGTTACGACCCTAGGGCAGCACAGACATATCGGAAACATGAGTCGACGCGGATGCCAGCGGAGAAGTCCTTTTGGACTTGATTGGTCTCCATTTGGATAGATTCATTTGTCCAAGCTTGACTCACTCGCTTTCCTGGCTTTCCTGGGGGACCAGTAGGACCCTGAAGACCTCTGGGGCCCTAAGAGACAAACAGATCATAAATATGACAGTGGTTCATCTTGTCTACTTCCAAAAAAAAAATACCCCAAATCAAGATATTTGCTGGTTCAAGGAAGTCAACTAGACGGACTTTTGGGAGACTTTCAAATCCATTTTGATCAAGTTTTAAATGTTGATCAAATTTCAGAATTAATAGGGCAAATCAAATGTTGTTTTTTTTAAATGTAAGATTTTTTTTGTCTACTAACCGAATTTTTAGGACTTTTTTTATGACACTTGGAATAAACGTCAGAAATTTGACGACTTCCTTCAGCCCACTTCAGACCTTTTTAGAGTACTGCAATCAAATTCAAGTCCGTGGACCTCCTGCGTACAAATGATTTTGCCTCCCGAGAATGAAATAGATTAAGTCAAGACAAGCACGTGTATCCCACTGCACGTTGCTATTTTATAGGAGTGTCTGGGAAATCAAAGAAAAATCATCTCTTCCATAGCTATCCAAAAACAACTTCTCACCTGTGGTCCGTTATCTCCACTGTCCCCTTTAAGACCGGGAGCTCCAGGACTGCCCTGTTAGAAAATACAATTTAATGAGTGAAAACATTTTGCATGCATGCAGACGCTGGACAAGAACCTAACATAATGGAATGAGGTAAATCAGTTCCTGGATCAGTCGTTGACAGTGTAAAACAGAAAGAAACGGTTCTAGGTGTGAGACGCAGTTGGACCGCGACTAAAACCAGAGATGACCGCATGACCTCAGCCGCCCATTGACCTTCACATGTATGGGTGTGTGATGATATACGTGCGGCAAGGGTGTGCTCATGATCTCATGTGCGGTGTGGGATGAACAGACAAGCATGCGGATTCACAGTGCAACGTGCTTTGAAGAGGGACTCACCACAGGACCGGACCTTCCCGCCAAGCCCGCTGGCCCTGGAGGACCTCTCATGGCCAGCTGGAGGAGGGAGACGGGGGGCAGAGGGGGAGGGGCGGACAATCAAAGAGACACGTGAAACCACTGCTCACCCACACGGCACTTGGGCGCAGAATGGCGGACTTTCTCACAGAATTGCTCTAAGTTTATGTAGCCTAAAAGGAAACCTTTGATGTATGTGAATGGATCATACTTAAATCCTTCGCGGTATACGGCTTGACAACACAGCAGATGTGGCATCAACCAAGATTTGGCCTTTGTGCAAACGTCTCCATAAGTGTGGATTTATTTCATACACAATACGTATATAATGTCCAGAAAAGGAACACGGGAGGACCTACCCCAGGCACGGTAGACGTGACGTCTGTTAATTTGAATGAAAGCGCCCCACTGAAGAAAGTTTGCGAGGAGTTGTTTAGAAAATCCTTAACTCAGTAGAGTCCATAAAAAAAAAAAAAAACAAGGAAGGCAAGGAAGGCAAACTACCAGCATGGCCAACGTGGCATCTGTAAAGCTGATTTTGGTCTGATCGTGCGCCGGGAGCCGGATGTCAAATTTTAATGGTGATTTTGTTACAAAATCAGCTGATTAGTGTCCAGAAAAGAAGATAGGGAGTCAGACCAAATCACCCACACGGCAGACACGCCATTTGCAAAGCTGTGAAGTTTATATGGGGGCACCCTGCTGAAAAAAGTTAGTAAGCATTTGAACAGAAAGGTTTGAGCGTGACTTTATTGCTTTGACTTCATATGCCATCCCCGTCACTTCCTGATCGATGTCTGGTATCCTCTGCAGTTGAGTAAATAAAGGCTCCCTGGCCACGACATGAGTCACTAGCTGGCCACTACACAACTCGTCGCCAGCATGTATCTGAAAATAATTCAAATGAGGCTAAAAATGTACAGAGTGGACCCTTTTTTTTCTGAGTGCATTTGTTCCAAAGCCAATAATGTGTGGAACATTTGTAGCCTAATGACCTAAAAATGAGCTAGTTTGCTCAGGAAAGCAATCCATGACCTACTCCGCACTCACAAGGCAATATTAATGCCGTTGTTTGGCTTCCAGGTGTGGAGAATAATTCTTTTTGAATGTGTCTGGTGCTGGGAACAAATAAGAAAAACGGAAAAACAAAGTGCTTTGACTTGAAATTGAGTTTTGGCTTGCGCTCCAATGGTGCAAATACTGTAGGATGTTTGCGCTCGACTTAATGAACTCCATGTATCGTAAGCGTTGCCCTCATACCTCTGGAGTGCAGTACCACTCAATTTTCTTTCTGCATGCCAATTCATTAGGCACGTCCAGACAATGCAAAAGACCGAATAATGCTCTTGGCTTTAGTAAATTAGGTTGAGGGTGTGGTTTTAAAGGTCATATTAAACTGTACTGGGTTTTGCTTTTTGGCCATTTTATGCAAATTAGCATAAAAAGTGACTGCTGCAAGTGCAGAAGATGCGGCATTTGTAAAGCTGTAACAACCATTGTGTTCAAAGAGAAATTGCTGCAATATTTCGCCGCAAAACCGGCGAAACATTTTAACGCTGGCTCTCCAGGGCAATTAGAGAATACACCTGCTGTCCATCAGACAAGGTGGCAACTGTAAAGCTGACATTCAGGTCGCGTGTAAGAAGATAGTGCCATGTAAAAAAGATGACCCAACCTCATCGAGGGGATGTTGACTTAAAGTAGTTGTGAAACTGCTCTCTTGTTTTAAATGTATAACTGAAGAACAGACACGTGACTTACCCTGGCCTGGGAAAGGATGGCCTGAGCCTGAGCCTCTTGTGCTGACACCACGGGTCCCTTGTGTGCTTCGCCGCCTGCTCGGAACTGTCGATCAAAACGAAAAAGGGTGACGCAATTCAGATCACAGAGCCTCTGACGACAAATTTAATGGAGTGCATGACAAAAACGGAAAATGCAGATTGGGTAGCAGCCCCACTGTGCCAGTGTGTGAAGTGGTAGAACTTACTGGAAGCATCAGAATGGTACCTGCAGGCCCTGGGACTCCGTCCGAACCTGGAATTCCAGGTCGTCCTGGAAGACCCTGTGGAGTGAAAATGAGCATCAAAATGCGAATCGCAATTTAGAGTTGCCACGATGCCTATAATACAGACTTCTGATTAGGACAAAATTAGGCAAATTCCCTAGTAGGAGTTTGTCTAAAATTTCATGCCACTTGGCAAAACTGGGGTGTGGAGATTATTATTATTAATTTTTTTAATAACTTTCCAGGGGGCGCTACTGAGTGACTTTTGCAGGACCCCTAAAATACATTAAGTACATTTTTACCAAGATACAGTACAAGTGCTAACAAAAAAATCTGTGAAATTTTTTTTTTGGGCCATGTTGAGCCCACCCAAAAGTGGAACGTTTTCAATCCAATATTTTTTTCCCTTTGATTTACAGCAGCAATAAACCGTTTCCCAATGGGGTCAATTGGAAGGGATTAGAGTGCTCTTTGGTAACAACATGATGTTTGTGGATTAAGCGGCTTTTCCCAGTGTTTTTGAAGTCAATCACCCCATCAACTCGACAGATGCTGCACCCGCCCTCTCTCCCGCCTCTCAAAATAAATAGTCAAATTAAAGTCTTTATAGGTAATGAAGCATCACGTTTTATCTCAGGGGTTGACTTCGTTGCAGACTCCTTGCAAGAAAGGACTCTGGGAAAAGGAGGACAAGTCGAGCTGTGCTGGATGTTGATTTAAGAGAGGCATTGAGGCTACTGTACATCTTAAAGAGAAACCAGATGAATTAGGCTGTCCAATATCTTGGAAAGTGACGTTAAAAGAGGCTTTACAGCGATGATAATGGTGACGCATGCAGACTAAGCGCTACGCCATGGAAAACCACATGGCTACAGGAAGGAGTCACGTCTAATCCTCCTGGGCAAGACAATTTTCCCATGAGAGGAAGTGACAGGAGGGGAGGAAGTTTAGTTTTAAAACCCAGAGGGATCACCGCGGTATAGCAGTGAGGTCACTTTCTTTTCATTCACTTTTCCACTTTCCTTGTATGATTTTCTTTGTTACAAAAAAACAACAACTTTTTTTCCTCGACTTGTCACAGGATGAAATTAATGTTGATAAGAGGGGAAAAATGCATGTGAAATGTGCTGTGGGGATTCAACTCACCCTCGCACCAGGATCTCCAGGAGGTCCTGGGGGACCCTGCAGTCCTGGGGTACCCGGGACACCCTGAAAAAAACAGATGCATACTCTGAGTTCATTATATCCCAAAGCTCACCACAGGCGGTCCATCCAGCGCCGACGGTACAACGTCCAAAAAAGACAGAAGCAAAGATGGCTTCAAAAAGACCTCAAAAGACGCCCCCCCCCCCAGTCCTCATCACACTCCACCACTGACGCTCTTTCCATAAAATCACCCCCTCCTTTATCCTTCTTTTTAGCTGTTCTCCATGTGTGCAAGGCAGACAGGAGAGAATGTGATACTCACTGCCTGGCCGGGGGATCCTTGGGGTCCTTCTATAAGCATACCCTGAAAAAAAAAATAAAAAAAGGAAAAAGAGTAGATAATACAGTAGCGTTACAAATAACACACTGCTGCTGCGGGTTTGAGGTCAAGGAGTTTACGTATTGCTACACGCAGTATTCATCGACGGTTATGTATGTGTGGTCGAGCATTTGGACTGGTTTCAATACAGATGGTACCGGGAGGAGCTACCATTTCGCTTAATATTAGGGTTATATAGCTTAGACTGTACGGAAAGAGTTACAGATATCACATATTTGCCGAAAAGTAGTCATATATAGTCATACAATCTTGACCATATGCAATCAATGTGAAACTCTGTCTACATTCATTATTTGTTCACAAATTAGCAGTCATTTGGCAGTTTAGCTTCGGAAAAGTTGATGTATTATAGTAGCAATGAGACCCAATGATAATCTTTAAATGAGTCAAATGTGAGCAATAAATGGTTGGTGAGCTGCTGGCTAGCACAAACAATCACAACTAAAATCAATGACATTAATTAATGATGTTCATTTTAAAAATGGATTTCGTCACGTGTTAGCTGTAGCAAGCTAGGTAGCTAGCAAAGCAGCTGCCTTTTAACATCAAATCACCCAAAATCTGCACTAGTAGACCTCATATGTATGATATGAAAAGACCATGTCAGATGCTATCTTGAGCTAGGTATCAACTCACAAATATCTATTTCAGTCATTGCTGCATTCAAGCTAGGAAATATCTCATCCTGAGAGTTGATGTGCTAAAAGCTAGAAGGTAGGTTAATTGTCAGTGTACACCAAATGGCTTTTTACACTGCATTTAGCAGTAAGCCATTGACCAACCTATTCATTGTGTATGTCTTGCAAAGGTGCGACAACAGATCGCATCAGGTAGATGCTGAAAATCTCGGGAGAAGTGTTGCTTTGACATCAGAAGATGCATCCAATCGGAGAGGGGCTGGCAGAGTACTTTCATAGTGCTAATAGTGAATAGACTTAGCAGCAGGAAACAAATCCATGCTACTTCCGCTAGGCCGTGAAGGAACCACTTCCAAATATGGGCAAGTTTGCACAGGAACGCTGTCGTACCTGCGCCATGTCCCACGGTGAACACAAAGACAACAAAGTGCATAAATATATTGACATAAAACTTACAGGTTCAATAACGGCAGGCTCTCCCTTCTCTCCTTTCTCTCCCAGGTAACTTTGACTTCCTCCCACCTGTGGACATGAGAAGAAGCCTTTTCTCAAACACGGCAATTCACGTTTATGTTGGGAGATGGAGCGGGGATGTGAAAATGCGTGACTGACAAGCAGCAGGAGATTGCGATAAAAGTGTGAAGAAAAACGCCACAGAGTGTTGACTACTGTTCATGAAGATTAAGGTAGCTCTCTGCTGCCTGCTCGGAAAAATAAACCTCAGGAATAATACAGCCAGTAGCTATAATTTGGACTCCTATTTAGTAAGATTCCTCACTAGACATTAAAAAAAACAAAAACAAAAAAAAAACTTCAGGGGTGGTTACCTGACACTATCCATACAATGACTTCACATGAGAGGCATTACCAAAAGCCCCAAAAGGACAGTGTCCAGCAGCTTATGAAAATCATGGAGGACTTCTGCGGTGTGCTGGGATAGTCTCCCGGAGAGCACTAATAGCACGTTGGCGATTAACCCCCGAGGTTTGTTACTTCCTGCCTTGGAGAAGCTTCATCTTACAGCCACTGCAAGAAGCAAATTTCCCCAGTGTGGGACAAATAAAGGATATCTAATCTAATCTAATCTAAGCCCTTGGTTAAACTACAGTAGACGTACTTGAGTATAATTTAGTTTGTAATATCGCTGATTGTATTGTCAACTGTGTATGATATAGTTTGCTTGATTCGTTTGCGTTTGCAAATATCCACAGGATTGCAAGGCAGGGTTAGGGTTTGAAGTCACAGTTAGGGTTTTAAACATGAAGATGAGGCAGGGTGAGGGTTAGATCTCAATCTAAAAAAATGTCAAGTCAAGTTAGAAACTCAAGTCCAGGTTCAGGTTTCAAATTAGACTTTCAAGAGATGGTAGGTGAATTATTGGTTAAGGTTTCAAGTAGGTTTGCTTTGGTTTCAAACAAGGATTTCAAGCTTGGATTTCAAACATGGGTTTGGGCCAAGTTTACAACTTCAATAAACATTTTTCAGATAGGGTTAGGGTTCTAAACAAGGGTTATGGTTTCAAATGAGACTTTCATCACAGGGTGAGGGTTTCAAATGAGGGTTTTTAAACAGGGTTAGGGTTTGAAATTAGACTTTCTAGACAGGGTTAGGGTTTCAACCTACAGTTATGGTTTGAGGACAGGGTTAGGGTTTCAAATGAAAGGTTTCCAAAAAGAGTTAAGGTTACAAACGAAAAAAAAGTTTTAAATCAGGGTTTCAAGACAGAGTCCGAATTTCAAATTAGAGTTTCAATAAAGGATACAGATTAAAAAACAAGAGTTTCAAACAGGTGTTTCGATTTCATTGCTGAGTTTTGGGACAGGCTTAGGTTGCAAACAAGGATTAGGGTTTCACTCTCGAGTTTTGATTTTAATCTTTGGTTAAGGCTTCAAAGTCGGCGCATCTGTTTCAAGCCCAGGTTTGTGTGATGGATGTGCGTGGTTGAGGTCTGAAAAGCAGGGAATCAAGACGGCGAGGCAGGATTGCACGCAAAATCGGGAATTCAAATTCAAAGGAACAAACACGCCAAGCAAACAAAGTACAGGTACGTGGAATTAAAGAAAAAAGCTAAATCAATGACGTCCAAAAACAAGATTCAAAAAACACCGTTTTTTCGCCAGGGCTAACATTTCCAACAAGAAGAGATTTTACGGAAATATATTTGAAAAGACCCCGATGTCCATGAGCTTTAAAAGCACAGGATGTGCTGTAAGGCAAACAGATGAGCGGTGGCATCAGCAGGGTGCACTGTCTAAACAGAAAAGGTCACTGGGGCTGCAGAGTTCATGTCGCAGTGACAGAGAGGTTACCATCTGCAAAATCTTCGAAGATGTCTACGCCTCAAGCTACTACCCGACACCGTCCGAAAACAACAAACACCCGCGACGTTCCCAACACGCATTCCTGATCACCGCCACATCTTAACAGCCTTCATTGTCATCACTTACGCCGCTCTCCCTGAAGTCAGTTTCGGCCGCAACGCCGGGGCCAAACTCCTCCTCGCCCATGGATTTCTTGGTGTCGGTTGGAGCGCCGTAGTCGCCGTAGTCGCCGTAGTCGTAGGGCGTCTCCTGGGTCTCCTCGCCTTCAGCCAAGTCGTACTCCCTGAATTCATAGTTGTTGGTGCCGGCGTCCACGTTGTCGTTGGTGTCCACCGGGGCGACGGTTGCCGCCGCGGGAGTGGGGTCCGCCCCGACCTGTTCCACACCGGTGATGTAGTCGTCCACATTTTCCTCTTCATATGTCTGGGATGGATCCGGAAGTGGAGGTGAGGAAGGAGAAGACATGGACATTTAGTCGGCATGTTTATGATGAGTAGACCCACAAAACAGCCCAAAGAACCCAAAATTCCACAGATGTTTTGGTTTGAAATGGCCATCGTTTGGCCGTTTTCAGGACTCCACCCAAAATGAAATTGTCCGAGGGATTTTGCGCGACTTCACCAAATTTGAGCGCGGCAACAAAGTTTGCCACCGCGCCATAAAACAGAAACTCTAATAACTGCCAACCATCAACATACTAAAGGACCAAAACTTGTTCATATACATCTAAAAGATTGTTTCCCGTTCTTTCTTAACGAGAAACAGTGCTAACAGTGCTAAGGCCATTAGCAATTCCTTTGTCATCCTCACCCAGAACAGCACGAAAATTTTATGGGCCCACAAGTTATGTGGATTTGTGATTCCTGGATCGACACCTTTTCTAGTACAGGTCGCATTTTTTTTTTTTGCATCACCGCTCCATCATTTTTTGTGGCCATCAGTTAAAACATAAAAATGTTGAATCAAAACTTTTCTCCCCCCTAGAATTTAGCTTTTTTTTTTATGGATGTGTACACCCTCATTTGTATCGGCACATTTTTTGCATCAATCCTCCGTAAGGCTTTGTGGTCATCAGTTCACTTGGAAAAAAGTTTTTTTCACGGAAACTTCAACGGCTAAGGCATTGGATTTTTTGTGCGTAAATCATATTCTATCTTCCTTGTCTGTTATCGACACAAAGTTTAACGCACCACACTCCCGTAAACTTTTGTGCTAATCAGTTACAGTGGAAAATATGTTGAATTGAAACTGTTCTAATGATCCACACCCAATGGAAATTGTTCTTCCTTGGCCCGAAATTGTTCTTCCTTGGCCCAAGCACGCCTATTTCAAAACGAACCGAAATTGGTGAAGCGGATTTTCCGCAATCTGACAAGTAGCACAAACTATTATTGCAATATTGAATTTTTACACCAACACGCATCAGGAGGACAACGTGGCTCACGGAAAACAAATGGCCATATTGTTCTCATTTAACCCCCGAATGTTCCTCATTAGGTTGTTGTTTAGGTTTGCAATGATGAAGTACAAATTAAGGCTGCCAAATTCTGGATATGTCAGAAGCATGGAAAAGGGGAGGGATGATTTGTCTGTCTGCCTACCAGTTTTCCATCGGTTATGCTTCGCTGAATGACAACGATTTCCTGCTGCGGCCGCCTTTACAACGTCGTTTCTCGCGAGGGGAAAAAAACAGTAGCATGTGCGGCTTTGATGATTTTGACCAAATAAGGCTTTTCACCACCGTCAACGATCATTAAAATTTCTGAAATGTTTTGGATAGTGGATGCTCGCATCAAGGACAGCTGAATGCGGAATGTGTACGTTCTAAGGAATGTTTACAACCTGATGAGGCTACGCTCGAATTGGCGACTTACTCGACTAAGCCATCTTAATGATTTGACTCATTCTTACACATTATATGAACATTTAAAACGTTTTAAATAAAAAATGTTTAAAAAATTACCTGGCCCGCCGTGGGAGTTTCAGGCTGACTTCCATCCACGATGCTGTAGTCGTAATCGGTGAAGTAGTCGCCATCTACAACGGTCTGAAATCAGAAGCACAAATTTACAACGAGGGCACAAAACTTTGTTTTTGTTTTTTTTTATTTTAAATAGCGAATGCTGACCAATGACAGAGTGGTCGAATTATACCCCCCAAAATAGAAATGTTTTTATTAGGTCTGTGGCATTCTTAATACTCTAATTTCAGATATCTAAATACCTTTTCTACCTTATTAGGTACCATGCAACTAGCTAAAACAACCTTTGACTGGTTTTGCTAATTATATCATTTATTTGGTTTATCTCAATGGAAACAGCATATTCTGTCAGGGACATAAAGTTTAAGTGCCTCGCATCCGAGCCACACGACTCATATTCCGTAAACAAGTACAGTGCGGCTCAGCCTCTGACTAGCGGACATTATCGCTAGCAATATGCCTTTGGCAGTACATCAAACTTGTTAACTCATTTTACAAAGCATCAAACTGTTGCTGTTGCACTTGTCTGCATCTTTTGTTCCCTAAAAGCACAAACTCTTCCCTTTGCACTTTCCTACGGTACTCTTTTGACGTTATACTGCCAGTCAAATTCTTTAAAATGAGCTATTTGACTGCATAGATACTTGATTGCTGGCCTAATTAACACCCACATAAATCCCCTAAAGATTTTAAACTGAACGTAAAAAAAAAAGAGGAAAATTGAGACAGACAAAAGATGGACAAGAACACACGCTCGGACATGCTCGTTATTCATGACAAGCGTCGGCCATGAAAACAGTGTGAGTAGCGGCGGTACCTCAGTCTTCGCTCCTTCAGTTGGGGCAGGTTCAGTGGTGAGCGCTTCTTCGGTGTAGTCATATAACTCACCATAATCATAGTTAGTGTACTGTAAAAGGGGAGGAAGAAAATGGACGGGGGAAGGGGTGCAGTCAATCAACGTCGTCATGTAAATACACCAGCACAATGTCATATTGTACAGCATTTACATGGCAAAAGAGAGCGAGGCGGAGCTATACTCGCCATGCTATTTTAGAAATAACATGTTGAAATAAATCACATCCATAGAACAGTATAAAATACATATATGGATGAATAACAATGACTCTTGTTTGCTTCCAAACAAGATATGATGCGGTCAAATGTGACGCGCGGCTACACGTAGGTCTGAACGTCAATGATCGCCAGAGGCGTTCATTAATGGGGCCTCATTAAAGTGAGCGTGCAGCCCTGACTCATCGGTGGTAAAAGGCAAAATTACAGGAGCAAATAGCAGCCACTAAATGACTTATAGCGCTAAATAAACGTGCGCCCTGAGCTCTAAAATAGCCCGCATGAATGCGGTGCAAAATAATCAGCTTCAGGCATATAATGTTGCTGTTTATTTACGGCCTCAAAGTCGAGCCACTCAGGACAAACCGCAAAGGAAATGGATACAAGTTGCTCTGATTAGCATTTTCTGTGGGGATTGGTGCAAGCCGAAGCAACCAATTCAGAAAACGTTTACACTTCAAAGGTAGACTCGAAGGCACGCCGAACAAAAAAAAAAGCTAAGGGTTGCTGTCTCACTGCGTTAGTCACATTCCCTTTTGAGGGAGATTGAGGGGAGCCGGAAATACGAATGTTTTTTTTTTTTTTTTTTTTTTTTACAGCAAAAATATTTCAAATTCAATAAAGGTTGACATAAACTTCCAAGCACCTCATCAAAGTTACACAAAGCTGAAGTAAAATGAGCTCAACTCATTGTCGCTGTCTAGAACTTGCGATTGTCTGTCAGATTACGTCTTGTAATGGATTTACAGTAAAGTATTTCATATTCAACATACGCTTTTACAAATGTCAAAGGTGGAATCAAAAGGTATGCTAAGCTAAGTTCAAATTCAACTGTACTGACAAACCAGTGATTTCTAAAAAGAGGACAAACTAATGGTGCTGCACTGTCCTGAAAGGATGCAAAATATTGATATTGTACTTTATTAACAAGAAAAAAAAACTTGATATGGAGCCAAACTAGTGTTGTCACATTGTTTTAGAAAAAAAAAAACTATGATGTTATGCTTTCCTAAAACGAAAGCGCACTATTGTATTTTCCTAAAAAGAAGACAAATGACTGCTATCTCACTTTGCTAAGCAGAAGGCAAACAATTAAGGTTGCATTTTCCTAAAAAACAACAACAATAACAACAACAAAAATAGATTGATTTACTTTTCTAAAAGGAAGAAAGGCAAAGATTATACTGACGGATACGATTAAATAATTTTTGTGTGTGTTTGTTTGAGAAGCTTTCATTTGGAGAACTAATGGCATATCTTTCAGGAACCCCATTTCCTCCCGGCATACATTTATTGACAGTTTAACAATAGTGAGGACGTCCATTAAGCCCCCAATCCAGGATATGCTTTACAGGGATTGATATTAGTCCCCTGGACAACTGTTGACATTGCGAAAGAGTGATCAAAGCCGCAATGTCGGCTCAACATCCGTCCAGAGGTCACACTTGGAGCGGAGGCCCGGCCAGACAGGCGAGACAGTCAGACAGGAGGGTTGAGGAGTTGTGGGGGTGTGGATTTACGACGGTGAAGTGCTTAGCTGGGAGCTTCACCGCAAGGCCCGGATGAAATTGGAATTGGACGCGCACTCGTGCGCACATATGGACACGCACCACTCCCGTATCACTCCAGCTTCCTCTTTCCTTTCATCCTGGGCCGCACACATGTGGCTGACAACTGCACGGTGACAGCAGGGTCAAGGCGGTTGCTCCCTGGTGGAGGTTTCATTACACATCCACGCCTTTGTAAATCTGTTTAAAAGTCTTTGATGAGGGGCACTGTGTGGAACATTGTCACCTTGATGGTGAAAAAAAAACTATTGATGATGCACTTTCATAAAAAGAAAAGGATTGACGTTGCTCTTTCCTGAAGGGATTGCAAACAATTCATTTTTCAGTTTCCTAAAAAGTCTCCGTTCACCATACAGAGTAAAGCTGTTTAAAAATCGATAATGAGAGGCACTGTACGGAACATCCACACTGTCTATTGTCAGTAACAATGAATTGATATGGAACTTTCCGAAAAAGAAGACAAACAATTGATGCTGTACTTTCTCAAAAAAGGACACAACCTATAGTGATTGCACTTTCCCAAAAAGAACAGAAAGTCTTTGTGTTGCACTGTCCTTAAAAGAAAAGTATAATGAGGTTGCACTTTCCTAAAAGGAAAACAAACAATAGATGGGGCCATTTCCTAAAACGAAGTCAAACATTTGATGTTAAACTTCCCTCAAAAAGAAAAAGTATTGATGTGGCTCTTTCTTAAAAGGAAATCAAACTATTGATGTTGCCCTTTCCTAAAAAGAAGCCAAACTATAGATATTGCACTTCCCTGACAAGAAAAGGTCTCCATCATCATCCACAGTGAGTTTAAAAAGCAATGATGAGAGGAATTGCGCGAAACATTCCAGCTATAACGTCGACAGCGAATAAACCATGTCTCTCTCTCTCTCTCTCTCTCTCTCTCTCTCTCTCTCTCTCTCTCTCTCTCCCCCCTCCCCTCCCCCCTCTGTCTCTCCGCTTGACAGCCTCCACCAGAGTAAACTTGATGATGATGAAGCAACATTTTCCAGCCACTTCTTCCACACTTGAACCCGGCATTGAGAAAAAAGAAAAAGAAAAGAAAAAAAAAAAACGTTTCCAGGTATTGGGAGTCTTGCTGCAATGGATGAAAAGGAAAAAAGTTTGGATTTCGAGTTGCACAGCCTGCTGTACTCGTTAGTGATATAAATCACGGGGCCACTGCAAAAATGGGGCTCGGGTTGACCTCTGCGGCAAGGAAAAAAAAGGGGGGGAAATTTTCCAACATGAGCTCATCGGTTAGTTGACGGAAAATATCAGCTGACGGTAGTGACTCATATTGGAGAAGGAACACGCACAAAAAAATGAACAAAATTTTTGATAGGCAAGGAATCCTATTTTGGTCACTTTGGATGCCCCACGCTTCATTTTAAGGCAGAATATAAAGTGCAGAATTCTAAAAATAATCTAGAAAAATACGCTTGTTCAATTTTTAAATTGTTTTTGTGTAATTTCGAACAGCCGCAAACCAACTTGAGCCAAAATGGACACCACACACATTGCTCCACGCCAATAAATAAATTGAGAACAATAATAAAGAATTTTAGGAATATTTTTGTATAATTAGGAAGGGGAAACGACTGTATTTAAAAAAGTTACTCTTACGCATAATGAAAGAAACTTTTATTGCACTCTTGAATGAATGTTATGATGATTAGTATTTTTTTTTAAGATGTACGGATAATATTTGATGAATTTTATATGTGAATTAAAGTCAAACTTTCCATGCATTCCCTTTTCGACTAACCTCTTCCTCAGGTTCCTGGGCTTGGGGGGTGTCCCTGTGGTTGGGGGTTTCACAGTCGCGGCTGTAATGTTCACAGTAGTCATAGGCGGCCCGGGGGTCTGCCACGATCAGCAGCTGCTGGATGTCACCCTAGACCATGACAAAGACAAACAACATCAGCTTAAAAAAAAAAAAGCCATTTTTCGACACAAATGGAGTGTTTCCGTGCAAGCCGTTTGCGCCTTTTTCTTGAGTAACACAGCCCGGCCGTCATAAAAGGTGACAGTAAAAACACAACAAGCAGGATGTGGTCGAGCACGATAGGCCGTAATCCTCCCGATATAAAAAGGTCGTGAATCAAGGCTGGAGGCGAATCTGCAACCTATTGTAGCATCTGCCGCGAGAGAAGCCGCCAGTCCCCGTGCACGGCAGATAAATAACCAAGGTCTGTAGTTATCTTACGGACGTCTGGTTTTCATGAGCTTTTGGAAAAGGAAATTACATCTGCACCGCTAACCATTGCCGTCAGCCAACATGCCTCACTCTAAGGCAAGTTGAAGAATGTGACCGTTTCCAGTCAATCAGCAAATTGGAATAGTTGAAATCAATCGCGATAACACTAACATAGTTTGAAAAGAGTTATTTTAGATTTTTTTTTTTTCATATCATATAACCTCAACCTGAGCCAACATGCCTGACTAAGAATCTCGTGGAACCCTCCGACTTGTAGCCAATCAGCAAAGGAATAAATAAATACATAAATACAAATAAAGATTTCTAAAGTGACACATTTCTTGAAATAAATTCTGAAGAGATTTGTGTACAAATTTTGAAGGCAGCATTTGGCAACTAAAGCCTGCAAGACGTCAGCTCAGTCAGCATGGATGAACTCCGCAGGTGTGCTTTTACTTGAGCACTGATGGCGAAGCGGTGTTATGATGACCGTCCAATAAACTCGAAAAGCGCTCCACTTATTTCTGCCCTCTTTTTGCTCAGTGCAATACGCTTCCATGTCATCAAAGTGAAGGGCAAGTTCAAAACATATTGCCGTAAAAGTTGTTCTATTCACAGCGGTTTACTTGTTTTTTACACTTGTGTGACAGTCAAGTTGCGACACATGCTTTCATACGTCGAGACAGCGTTGTCACGAAGGACGCGAAGAAGCAACAACAAGCCGAGCAACATGGTGATTTATTTGTCTGTTTGTCTTGCCTTTGTTAGTATTAGTGCGCATGAACTTGTTGATATCCGCTCCACATCCTCCATTCTCCGTTTATTAATTCTGCGCGGTGGGATGTTTATGTTAAAATGTCGGCACTACGGGGACGCTCACGAGATTCAACGGAGAAGGACATGTCACAACATCCACTTCCTGCTAAGCTAGACTCAACACAACCTACCAGTCAAACTAAGTTACAATGAAGCGTTCCAGCCAAAATGAACTTCATGCATTCATATGAAGATGAACATGACACATTTGGCTGTCGGATCGATTTCAACTATTTTAGCCGACTTGCAAAGCTACGCTGAACACGTTCCGCTTTCAACTTAAATTAAAATGAGCCACTTTAGCAACTTGCAAAATAAATAAATGGATAAATCTTTGATTTGTCTCATTACATGTCAACCAAACAAGGCGAAAACGGTCTTTCACTTGAGTTACGTGTTTCCACCTCCAAGGCACTCAAAGCGCTTGACGCTGATTTCTCACACATTAGGATCAACTGGGGCTTCAGTATCTTGCTCAACAACACTTTGCCATGGTCACAATGGCCGGGGATTTGAACCTACAACTTCTGAGTTAGCAGCCTAACCACTCTAACACTGAGCTATGCCACCCCAATGACACGCACAAACCTAAATTCAGCCTTTCCAGCTACATGCAAAACTTAACGAACTAAACTCTCTTCGACGATATGAGGGGCCATCAACCTTTTTGGAAATTACTTCCTGGGTACCGATTAGTACAAAGGGTTACTATAGTTTCATATCCGCTTTTGAAACAACATATTTGTTCAAATGAGCTTTAATAAGACTGATGTTCATTTGGATACTGGTCATATTAATTCTTTCTCACAATTCGGAAACAGACAAACATCAATATGCAACACTAGCGATAAGTCTTTGCCAGTGTTTATGCTTTCAAATGCCCACTTAAACCAAATTCCTAGGAAATGACAATGTCCCATCACTGGCGAGCTTTTGTTAAAACAGGCCTGTGGGCTACTCATGAGGTCCTTGGGGGCTCTACCGGATGCCTGCGGTGACCCCTGGCCTACACTCTGACACATTCAGCCTTCAAGTGAACTTAAAATCAACCATTTGAGCCTAACTGCTGACCTAAATGCAACAAACTGAGATTAAATGCGTGCCATTTCAAGATGAAGCGTTTTATTGTTTTTCTGTCTCAATAACAACAGTTAATTTAATTTTACACTTGGAAGAATGGAAAAATGATACTTGTTTATGGTGATAGCTTGACTCTGGCACAAACTAAAGAAAAAGTATTGCAACATCAACAGGGGCAGACTCTCTCTCTCTACTCTGTATCTCTCTCACCCTGATGACATCACTCTGGACTGCCCTTGACACCAATCACAGCCCACATGTGCGTGCGTGTGTCCAGGTCAGGACGTGACACACCATCCAGCTGCTTATTCCTCCTCCTATGAGCAACTCTCTTGCTTTATTTCTTATTGTCTTATTGCACTGACACAGGCGGAGCTGTGGAAGTGGAACAACACACGCAAATGGAATTTGAAAAAAAAAAAATGCACAAGGACAACAATTAGCCGAGGGAAGTGTGCCTAACACTCTCCAGATTCTACAGACTTTTAGTAGCAGCGGGCGAAGGCTGAAGACGTCGACTGAGATGAGCAATGGTGCTTTTATGTGAAAAGGGCGGGTGGGATCGCATCACAGTAGGTACAATGGAATGTAGTCATAATGCTAAACTACACTTGAGTTGTAGCCCGGTGTCGGCTAATGGTTCGTTGAGATTCAAGCTGAACCAAATTCAGCACTTCTTGCTTTTATGCTACGGTAAACTCAGCACCTGCTGCAATCATGCTATCCTCTCAACACTTCTTGTCACAATTAGCTGAATTGAAACAGTTTTTATTTATTTTGGGCTAAACAATGCATTTCCTTCATTCATACTAAATTCAATTTCGTGAAGCCTTTGTGCTAATCTAATCCCCAAAGTTTTACAATTAGCGGAGCTCACACACAATTAACTGGAACAGCACCATCTGTATTAAATATAAAAAAGTGGGAGCACAGAGGCAGTAGAATTGATAAACCTGCTGGGCGAGGAGATGTGTCTACCAGCTGTGGAATGTGAGCACACGCTGAACATTACTCCAGCTTCTTGCACTTGCAAGACTCCTGCATCTGCCACCCAGCAGTAGGCTAAAGTAGGAGGCCACTGTCTTCTTATTGAATACCAAAGAACCAATCAAAGGATGACGTAGGACAAGTTACACCCTGCAGCAAGACGAACAACAATTCTAATCTGACAGACTTTCGCCGTGAAGCATCCAAGACGCCAGATGACCAATCTTTGAGTATATCACACTACACGGGCTACGATGCATCAAGACAACACATCTGCGACACGTCTGTCGGCTCAAAATCGGGCTACATTTGTGTTGTCTGACGTCGGAATAAGTCAGGCTGAGTTTTACTTTAGGATTAGGATGAAAGACAAAAGAATCACGACAATCAGAATTCGAAGGTGAACGTATTTTGTGTCTGTGAACGCTTTTTAAAGCATGAATAGCTTAATATGAGTTGTACTGAGTTTTACTGTACAGCCGCTAACTTCTCTTTACACTTAAATTACAATTGGGAATGTTAACATGTTTTTCAAACCATTTCAAACCAAGGCCTGTACTTGTAGGTTGTTTTACATTGCCGAATTATTTAAAGCTGCAACCGACGAATTCACTTTCCATTATTTCCTATGGCTGGGTCTGTATTTTCTGAGCATGAACATATGCAACTTTTCAGTACAGCCGGTTACGTTCCAAAGGTGTCAAAGGGGGATGACTGAAGTACAATCACAACAAAAACTGAAGTCAAAATACATACGGCTCGTATTATGTGAACATATGCTACAATAATGAAAATACAACAACACAGGATGTTAGTAATCAGCCATTAAGCAGGAAGCAATTATAACACAGGCTCACATGTGTTTCAATGTCTTTATAGCGTCTGATGAAAAACACCTCAACGTCTGCTTAACTTAGCTGGAAGGCCAAATGAGTTGCAGGTAGCATAGCAGAAAGGATAAAAGAGTTGATTTACCTTTTTTAGCTTTGTGTGAATGCTAACAATTGCAGTTCAAAATGAAGACATAAAATGTTGAATTTAGCTTAGCATGAAGGTTAAAATGTGTTGAATTTGGTTGGCTTGAGGACTAGAAGAGTTGAATTTAGTATGAATTTAGCACGGCTGAGAGTTTTGGATTTAATTTCGCATGAGGTGATTTAAGAAAAAAAATAATCTCAAGCGTGTTATAAATAGTGAAAAGTTGGAGAAAGTGTTGTTAACTCGTCTCCCCTCAACTCATAACCACCTTAATTACAATCTTCAGTGTGGCTTCCAGTCTGGCGTTCTTTCCCTCATGAAACTAATTCACAACCACGGCTTTTATAGCCCCATGTAACCATGCTATATTTCCTTATCAACACTGTCAGGACATTTAACCACGGCTGCCTCACTTTAGCCACAAATTAAAGCGTCAAAGTCACATTTTCCATTCAGGTCACAACCTGCTTGGCTTTGCTACATTTGACTGAGTACAGAGTAGGCGAAAAGAACCAAATATAGTTTAGCGTGAATTTAACTTCCTTTGAAATATGAAAGAGTTGAACTTGGTGTAAATGCTCTAGAAAATTAGTTTAACCAAGCATTACGGCTCAAAGTGCTAAATTCAGATTTACCAGGAAAGCTAAAACAGTTGGAATTAGCTTGAACGTTGAAAATGCTGAGTTGAGTTAAGCACAAAAGCATGAAGCCTGAAATATATTCATCTTATCTTACTGTACAAGCTAAATGTGTTCAGTTTATTTTAGCGTTAAGTTTAAAAGACTTGGTTGTATATTACGCATGTAATGTAACAACTTTAGCTTAGCATGAAGGCTAAAGGAGTTGGATTTAGCTGAGCACGAAGGCCGAACGTGTCGACTGGAGTTTACCGTGAAGGCTAAAATACTTAGGTTGAAATTAATGTGAAATCTGAAAGAGTTGAATTGAGTGTTGAGGTAGTAAGTGTAGGCTCTAGCTTAGCATAAAGGTTAAGAGTTGGGTATGGGTAGCATGAAGGCTAAAAAACATATTGAGTTTAACTCATGAGTTGAGTTTTGAATGCAGGTAGGTCATGAAGATGGATTCGTACAAGTCCGGCAACATTCCATCAAGTCTCGTGTTTAGCGTAGAACGTTAGAAGTGTTGACTTTAAATTAGCATGACATGTTTAGTGATGGATAGTGTTGAGTTTAGCTTGGCAGGAGTAACATGAAGGCTGCTAGTGTTGAGCTTAGCTTAGCACAAAAGCATACATGGAAAAAAAACAGTAACTTGGCCAAAAACATCTTTCCTCGACCAACTTTACAATCAAATCAATCGTGTTGCCTTGGCGCATTAAGCACCTCTAAAATGTCCCACCGCAAGAACGGAGAAAACAAGGGGTTCAAACAGGAATTCCAAAATGGCGAGTGGCTAACCTCGAAGACTTGCTCGTCCAGGATCCTGGTGCCGAAGACTGTGATGCCTTCCGTGTTAATGGCTGCCCCCTCTCCTCTGGCTAGAGTCTTCTTCACCTTTCTCTTACAGTCCACAATCATGGTGACGCTCTTCTTCTCCACACTGATGGCCACACGATGCCACCTAATGACCAACAAACAGGCAATTATTCACATGCCAACCCTGGAAATGACTGAAATCCCCTGAAACGGGAGCTTCAATCCTAACACTGATGGCCACACGATGCCACCTAATGACCAACACACAGGCAATTATTCACATGCCAACCCTGGAAATGATTCAATTGCCTGAAACGGGAGCTTCAATCCTAATACTGTATGCTGATGGAGAAGACCGTGTGAAGAAAGCGGTCACTGATCACTCACTTGCCGTCAGCCAGGTTGATAGAGCGGAACAGGGGGTATTCCTCAGGGGCCGGTTTTCCGTGCTGGTCTTCGTAGAGGAAGATGGGCGAGCGGCCCACCTCCACGCCCAGCTGCTGGATGCCCTGCTGGTTGTACATCGACAGCAAGAAGGACTGTAGGCCTGATTTGGGCTTGACAGTGAACATGATGGAGAAGTCTTCTGGGAAAACTCCGCCTGGAAAAGGGCACCCAGTGACATTTCATTAGATTACACAACATAAAAGAAACAGCTACCGAGCGAGGTTGGCCAGCTCAATATAATTGCATTATTATGATAATAAGTAACAAGATTTTTCATTAGCATGAACGCAGGACAGAAAGTGTCAATTTTAATTTTGGATGAGGGCAGGACGTGTCAACTTTAGTTGAGGATGAGGGAAAAAAAAAGCATTGACTCTCTCTGGATTTAGCTTTGCGTGAAGGCTAAAATAGTTGATGTTAGCTTAGCATTAGAGAGTAACAAGCTGAGGTTTTTCACTCCCATCCCATCCCATTCCCGCAGAAAAAAAAATCCCCTCCCATCCCAGTTGCGGACCGTGGTTAAAAAAATAAATAATTATTATAATAATCATCCTGTGACTCACGGAATTCCCGAAAAAAATTTGAAGGCTAAAAGTGTCAATTTTCACTTAGCAAGAAAGCTTAAAGAGTGGTATGGAAGTATGAAATGCTGAGTTTATCTTAGCATGAAGCCTAAAATATCTAGATCTACTTTAGTGTGAAGGCTAAATGTGTGAAGTTATTCTTTAAGTGTAGGCTAAAAGATTTGAGTTTAGTATGAAAGTAGAAAAGCTTTGCATGGAGGCTAAACAAGTTGAGTTTAGCTGAAGTGAAGGCTCATCGTGTCACATTTACTTCAGCATAAATGGTAAAAGAGCGAGAAGTGCAAAAGACCCGTGTTTGACTTAGTATGAAGATTAAAATAAAGTAGTTGAGCTTAGTGTGAAGGCTACATGTGTCAAGTCAGCTCAGTGTGAAGGACGAGAACCACGGCTCTTGCCTTCGCCATGTGTCTTTCTCTTTCCACATTAAACCAAAGCATCCAGACGGCCTCAGCGAGACAAAGTGTTCATTATGTCCACCGCAACGACTTTCGAAGGATTCTTTTATTCATTTCTGATTTAGTGAGGTGCCCTCACTTGACGCAGACAACGACTCACACGGTCCACGCTCTACAGGCTGCCCACCCCTGACCCATGATGCGTCATGGCAGCCTGTGTCTAATAAAAAAAAAAAAAAAGTGCCAGACAGTCTTTGACTGTCTGCCGACTGCAGCAAAGTGGAGGCTGGCAGCAATTAAATTTGAGAAGGGGGCACACTGTATTGACGCTGGCAGTTTACATTGTACTTAACTAAGTAGTGCGTCGCCACTTTCGCACACATGATTGGGGAACACAAAGCGGGTGTTGCTCTTTGTTTGTGTGATGATTAAACAGTGGAAGATGTTGATTTAGAGCTTCTGGGAAAGCTTTTTCGTATCAGGGGCCATTTTGTGTTCTCAACAGAAATACAACTGAACACATGTTCCCTCATTCTCCCTTTTCATGGCTAATCCGAAAAAGAACAATTGAATTATGACCCCTTGTTCCAACCATGTTAGTTGACTTGCCTTATCCTTCAATTTTTCTACATTTGGCACAATGATGAAAAAGTTTGGGCTACTTTTTTTGAGCATATTTTCACCAACGATTACTAGACTGTATTTTCCAGTTTATAAGACACTACTTTTTCCCCCCATTCTTCGAACTCTGCGGCTTTTAATGTGAATCGGTTTATTTATGAATTTTTACTGACGAGCCTCAAGCCACCAATTTACTGTATTTCCTCATAGTCTCTTTTTTAACCCTTTCAGGGACAGCGGTGACTACAGTGGACACCTTATGTTGTCAGGTTACAGGGTGCATGAAATCTCAAATGAAGAAAAAAAAAAAAGAAAGAAAAAATGAACCTCCACATCTTTCAATTTCTCTGCATCCGGCACCTGATGGAAAAGCTTTAGATATGTCTGAAATTTGAATTTTTATAACCAAAAGCTGCAAGAATAGAGTGATTCGCCACGTTCCTCAATATTCACCCGACGCCTGATGGAAAAGGTTTGGACACCTCTTGTCGAGGTAAAGCCTGCTACATTGGAATTTTTTGGCATCTTTAGGACATAAAAAAATGGAAGGTGATCTCCCCCTCATCATTTTTTAAAAATGTTTTGCATTCGCCCGCGATGGAAAATCTTTGGACAATGCAAGTGTTGGTTCCCAAGAAGATGACATTTACCTGGGAAGAGTTGTTTGGTCGGACTGCTGATCTGAGCGTTCTTGCTCACTCGATAAGCAATATCGGGTTTGGAGCCTCGGCGCATTGTGCAGAAGCCGGGTGTTTTCTTGACGCCTTGCGGTGAGCTCTTGAAGTCCAAAGCCTTCAGCACGTCCACTGGCTCGGCTGTGATGGCAGAAGAGAAGAGAAGGTGCAATTCACTTCAGTTCAGTGAGAAAAACATAAATTGCGAAAACAAAGTTGTGTTCTTTTGAAAAAGCAGTTGTAATTTTACACAAAAGTATTTTTTCTGGAAATATATTTTCTCAAGAAAACGCACAACAACTGAAAAGATAAGATCAATATTTCAGTTTTTTTTTAACATAAAAAAGTTTGATGTTGCTTTCTTTTTCTTTAATTCCTTCCATACATGATAACCAGAGAAACAAAACATTTGAAACTACTACACTTCATACAGATTGTCAAAATGTTATTTTTTTCCTTTGAGAGAATGTCATCTGATTTTCATGACAGTTTTTTAAGATAAAAAAAAACAATATTATAAAAATAAAGTTACATTTTTACCAAGATAAAAATTCTTATTTCATGGAAAAAAAAGTCACATATTTTCCTCATGAATTTTGTTTTTAAAAAATTGATTTCTATCATATTTTTGAGATGAGAAGGTATTTTGACAAGAAATCAAAAACTTGTTCAAATTCTGACATTCAAGACCTATCAAGCACCCCCCCTTTTTTTTTCCACCCCCCATGAGCTAACTTAGCACAGACACACGCCTACACATGGTATTAAACCCTCATCTGAAAGAGAGGTGCCAAAAGGTCCTGTGAAAACATGGAATAATAGTACTCCAACGCCTTCATATTATTTCGAGAATATTTGCAGGTTTTTAAGGCTCCCTTGTTGCTGCTTGGTTAACCATCCCAACTATTTAACACTGGCCAAACGCCTCTTTTCTTGTGTCTGGCCCCCTCCCTCAATAATACACACTGCATTCCTCGAGCAAATCCCCGTTTTGTGTCCATTTCCTGTCACGTGATGACTTATCGCAGCGATGAGAAGAGGGGAAATGAGGCCGACTGATTGCGCTTGTGCCCTGGAAGTCTTGTTTGAGGTCACTTTGCATAACAAACCCAAAAAATGTTTGAACGTGCAATTTGGCCCTTTTGTTCTACTGCGTGCGAAACTATGAGAGAAAATGACAAAACAACAACATTGGCTCATGGCAGTTTTGTCATTGTTTTCTCCTCGGTTATTGTCCGCAAACTAGCTCGTAGCCTATAAGCCAGGGGTAGCCCGCGGACCGGTCGTAAGAAGTTCTTAACAATGAGAAGTCTGCAATTGCAGCTTGCGACATATCTTTCGATTATTATTATTCTGATTCTGTTTGTTTCATCTGCAATTTAATTGAGCAAGTAGCTGGCGAGCTAGCATACTAGCAAACCTTAAAAAAAAACTTTTCCTGGCGAAATTTATTTTCTGTTGGTGCCACATGAGCCATGATGACACTGCTCCTCCCTGCTATTGCTCGCGGTATGAACCAGGAAGTAGCCTGCTAGGTATCATACAAATATGTTTGGGGGTGAAATGATGCATTTTCTCTTCACAGCAGTGCCACCCTCTCAAACCCCACCGTCCCCGCTTCAGAATGATAATAGTACACTCCTGCTCACTGACTCGAGCTAACAGTACTTCCCGGCTACAATTTGCGCTATTTGGCGGGGAGGAGCAGTAATATTGGAACTCAAGTGGCGAAATGAGACAGCAAATTCAGCAAACAAATGGATCATGGCACGTGAAGCAAGGGAAGTGCTGATTGTGCGGTTCCTGTATGGGTGGCTGCCTGCTTGGTTGGGATGGCTGCGGGGAGGTGCCGAGTGGTGGTGGGGCTTCTGCTAGAGCTTGAAGTCCACATGCTGAAGCCATTATGGGCCTGGCACCACTCCCTGTGCACCACTCACCCCCCTTTAGTAAAACATACTCAAGACTAAACTCCGATGGCCCCAACTTTCTCTACTCCTTCTTCTTTGAGCAACCTTTGTGAGGCATAGGTCCTTCTTTAGAAAGTGGTTATCAACTCGTTTATTATTGCTTTATAAAGTGGTTATTAACTAGTTTATTAATGCTTTATGAAGTGGTAACACACTAGTTTTTAATGATTTAACAAGTAGTCATAAACACGTATATTAATGATTCACAAAGTGGTTATCAAGCAGTTTAGGAATGCTTTACAAAGTGGTCAGTGGCTTGTTCATCTTGACTTTGATTTATTTCTGTGTTATTAATTTCTTTGTAGAAAGTGGTTATCAACTCGTTTATATTGCTTTATAAAGTGGTTATTAACTAGTTTATTAATGCTTTATGAAGTGGTAACACACTAGTTTTTAATGATTTAACAAGTAGTCATAAACACGTATATTAATGATTCACAAAGTGGTTATTAATCAGTTTAGGAATGCTTTACCATCTCGACTCTGATTTATTTCTGTGTTATTAATTTCTTTTTATTGATGATTTATAAAGTTGTTTTAAGCAAGTTTATTACGATTAAAATTAATTATCAATGCTTGCAAAAGGGTTATTGACAAAATTGTTGATAATTTATCATGAGTTTTTGTAATGCTTGAACGTGTTATTATCTAGTTTCTTAATGCGTTATGAAGTGATTAGTTTATTACTGTTTTATGAATTGGTTATGAACTAGTTTTCTAATGATTTAAAAAGTGGTTATTAACTACTTGAATGATTCGCCCTGTGATTGGCTGGGAACCGGTTCAGGGCGCAACCCACCTCCTGCCCCAAAAAAACTGGTGGGATAGACTCCAGCGGTTCTGAGAATGGATGAATTATTGATTCACAATGTCGTGATTAAGTACTTCAGTTACGATTCATAAAGCGTTTTGTAGCTGTCAATACTTTTTTTAAATTGTTATTTACCTAAATAATGCTTAACTGGTTTGTTAATGATTCATGAAGTGTTAACTAGTCAATTAATAAAGCACTTTTTAACTTCTTGTCTAATGCTGTCCTGCCCCAAAAAAACTGGTGGGATAGACTCCAGCGGTTCTGAGAATGGATGGATTATTGATTCACAATGTTGTTATTAAGTACTTCAGTTATGATTCATAAAGCGTTTTGTAGCTGTCAATAATTTTTTAAAATTGTTATTTACCTTAATAATGCTTAACTGGTTTGTTAATGATTCATGAAGTGTTTACTAGTCAATTAATAAAGCACTTTTTAACTTGTTGTCTAATGCCGTATACAGAGCTTAGTAACCAGTTTGCTGCCAAACTCTGAGCATTAAGTGGCTGTGAACTACTTTGCTACTGCTCTATAAAGAAGAAACAAAAGGCTTTACTGGACGTCATATGATAAGATTGACGTATGTGTGACAGTAGCTTGCATGTACCTGATCGTGAGTCATCACCTAATGCTGAACATAACTGTTTATAAGACAATTGATATTGATGTTAAAAAATACTTTTTAAACAATGAGGCATTTATAACACGTCATTAGGTGTGTTTAGGATACCGCCACATTTATTATGTTTTCATGATCTAGTTAAAAACCACTAAATAATCCACTTATAAACCCCTTCAGGGATTGTTTTTCCATTTTCTTTATGCATGGAGATATTTTTTTTCTGTCAATCAATCAAGGGTGGAGGGGGGATATAAATGTCACATCAATAGTGTGATCAAAAGGGACCATAATCATTTGTTTAAAAAAAAAAAAGTCTCCGTTGAAAGACTGTGCCGAGCTACTGCTTCTTCTCTGAGAATTTGGGAATACCTTTTGTGCATTACTGCATACCTCGAGGCCTCATATATTCCAGATGTGGCCCATTGCTTAGGACACCCGCCCATCTAGCAGCCAGCCCCCCCTCCATTCCCACTCTTCACTTTCCTCCCTTCGCTTTTCTTCTTCCCACCGCACGGCACACTGTCCCGATCCAGCATTCCAGCCACCGAGCTCCAACTCAAGAGATAATCAACTAATAACCGCGACTGCTTTAATGGAGTGTTTGCGAGCCATCAAGGCAGCTCATTTGTCAACGTGTGTCAGCAGCCCAATGTCTGCCGTGTTAACAAGCTCCCCTGGGAAAAAAAAGTGAGGGGAGAGAAAAAATAAGTGTGATTACCTGCCTAAGGTGCGTGCAGAGACACGAAGCTAAAGGAAGAAAGAACTTGTTCAAATCATTTGAAGGGAACACGGCAGACATGGAGGGGAAAAATTCCATCCCTGACTACTGGGTTTGATGTGGAATTGAGCTGTGATTACAACGGAATCTTCTCCCGGGGAGTTTTTTTTTCTCTCCCTTTGACAAGAGACTCTCTAACGAGGTCTGGCAGCAATGACAGCAATTAAAGCCCGCCCCCTCGGAGACCCTGCAAATGTTTGTGTGTGCACATCGTGCAATTATGGTGAGCTTGCATCTCAATCATGGTGGGACAGGAAGGCCTTTCATGATTACACAATAAGATGCAAACTATTGTTGAGGAGGTTCACGTCAACTTCTGAATAGTATCATCGACCGCCTCATGTGCAGTTTTGAAACATTTTGTTTTTTTTACGACCTACAATGCTGCTGACTATTGCTGCTGCTCACACTGACTTCTGTATCATACTGCATAGAAACTATTTATTCATATGCCGTTTTCTATCTACGTACGGTACATGACTATTGTGGCTCCACATAATACTGCCGACTCTCCTTGCTGCAGTTCACTCATACAGTTGCCACTCATAATTATATTTTTCAACACGTACGTTTTTTTTTTTTTTTGGTTACATACAATGCTGCTGACTATTCCTACTGCTGTTCACATCTACATATTGACTGCACCATCTAGTCATGTGAAGTGTTTCACTCGTCCATAGAGCGTCATTTGGAACATGCAGTTATTTGGCTTCATACAACGCTGCTGACTATTCTTGTTGCTCGTCACATCAACTTATGTATATGTGATATCTATTTATTCATGTACAGTTTGACATTCATATACTTACTGGCATTCATTAAGTGATTATTTCTCGATATGTCCATAGATTTTGGTAACGTGATGCTGCTGACGATTATTGCTGCTGTGCACAATCACTTCTATATAAATGGCATCTACTTATTTGTCGCATACAATGCGACTGACTAACTTTGCTGCGGTTCTTATTCACTGCTGGAAACAGAGTATCGAATCATTGGTGTACCGTTTGCCATTCATACAGAAAGGAATAATAAATGTAGTTTTTTGGTAGCGTACAATGCTGCTGACTATCCTTGCTGCTTTCCACATTCACTTCCGGTTATCGTCGCTGTCCTGTGAAAAAACATGTCCATTCAGGTAAAAATTGTTTAAAAAAAAGACAAAAATTGACGTGTGTTTTTCACAAGACAGCAACAATATATAAAACATCTCTTCATGCACCGTTTGCTACTGTCATCTGCATATTTTACGTTTTATGTTCATGCACTTTCCAAATAGACTGCTGCTGACTATTTTTGCTGCTGATGGGTTTGATTCTTGGTCCACTTAAATCAAAATTCCTCTATTGCAGGACCCATGAAGGCCAACCAAAGGCTTCTTCTCAGAAATGTCCATGTCTTTTGGCTTTGAAATGAGGCCAACAGAACAAATATTTGAAAGCATGAATCTTACAAAGCCAGCAGACGCATGTGTTTTTTTTTTTTTTAATTCCTGGCTAGAGTCAGCACAGTATGGGTGTCTCTTTGGCTCTCCCACCACTATCCTTCAAAGCTCGACGTTAATGTGACCCACATATGTGCTTTTAAACCAGTCAAAATCGTCGAATTTTCTCTCCCCCCTTCCTTTTCCATCAACGCCCCACCATTTTTTTTTGTTTTGTGTGTGTGTGTGCGTGTGAGTGTGTGTGCGTGTGCGTGTGTGTGTGTTTCGTGGGTGGGTTTTGGGGGATGGCTTGGATAATATTAGAGCGATGGAAAAGATATCCATGTCTCAGATTTCATCACTATAAAAAATTAAACACTTTTTTTTTTCAATGTTTGTTTATTTCCAGAGTAACGAGAAATGCGTTGATTCCTCCCGTAAATCGGCGATTCCCGTCTTATTTCAAGTCTCTGTTTCTCATTATCCCGTGCGTAAAAGTCGTGCGTAACAGAACACTGGAGAAATGGAGCTGCCCCGCAAACACAAGTAGCAGTTTTATGACCGAGAGGAATGAGAATAAAGCAAGTGCACAGCCGAGCACGATGAGTGCGAGCAAAAGGACGCAAAAGCAGTCCAAAATCCATCGCTCACCTTAGCGAACCACACCTAACAAATGCGGGATCATGGGGTGCGCGTGTGCTAGCTCGAACCCTCCAATCACTCGCAAGTCGAACGTGACGCGAGACGTCTCGTGAAAGGAGTTTACGGAAGGTTTAACTGTGCGTAAAAGGCACACGAGTTCAACTCAACAAAAGCTGCCAATGCAAGGTGCAAGAGCTCGCGGAACCAGCAATCAACACGAGAATTCATCCATCAACGTCATTTTATCAAATCTAACGCGAAAAAAAAAATCATCTGATTAGGAAGGTTGGAAGGCCTAATTAGCATTAAAAAAAGGCTTCTTACCTGCTCTGACAGCGGCAGTTTGTAGCATTGTAACGACCACCACGGCGGCGAGCGTGGACCACCGCAGCCACCTTTTCGTCCTCCATCTGGCGGGCCGCCTTTGCGTCTCCATGGTGATCGCCCGCGCGGCTGGTGCACGAACTTTGGTGGGTAAATTGAAAAAGTTCAATTAAAATAAATCCCCCTGAAAAAGTGTGTGTGCTCGCACTATTACAGCTCCATGTGGGGGAGGAGTGACGATGACTGTGGCGGCCTGACGAGAAGCTTCAGACCGGCTTCCCCCTTTCTTCAAGTGCAGCGGCACACTGATGGTGGAGCGCTGTCATGAAAAAAAAAACATGCAGTCGGCTCCTTGAGAAGGGTTGGACGAAGACCAATGAGGAGGATACTCGCGGAGGAAAAGCATCCGTTCATCAAATCACCACTCTGGAAAGTTCTTTCCACGCCCCTTCCACCTCCCTTTGGTCCTCCCTTCACCTCCATCACTTTAGCAGAGCATCACTGGCTTCAGGTGCAACTCCTCCCGAATCACATCAAGACCTTCCAAAAAGTGAAGGGAAAAAAAGTGGTGTTCAACTACTCTGTTTAAAAAAAAAAAAAAAAAAAAAAAAGGCTACCAAAAAAAAAAAAAAATCTAATAAAACTTCAAAGAGTTGAAAGCATCATCACGTGAGCCTGGCAAATCTCGGCATAATCGAGCTTGACTTCACAGAACAGTCAAGTGATGGTGGGAGAAAAAAGCCATAGAAGAGGAACGGGAACTGGTTGCGACATATTGGGTCATTGATGGTAAAAGTGTGATGATAACCATAGAACGGGAAAGATAAACTACTAAGACATAGGATAGTCAAAGATTAAGGGGTAGTGATATCTATGGAGATGGAAAAGGAAGCGACTGTGACCTGTGGGATCACTAGAGATAAAAAGCGTGATGATAACCATTGAGCAGGGAATGGAACTCTGTGTCATATGACATCAATTGCTAAAAGGGCAACGATAGGTGATGACAGGAAATAAAACTTTCTGCGATGTCAAGTATCATTGATGATGAAAAGTGTGATGATAACCATAGAACCGAACTAACTGCGACATTTGGCATAATTGAAAATACAAACGTTTGATGAAAACAATACAACCGGAAAAGAATAGTGATGTATTGGATCAATGATTTATGAAAAATATGATAACAACCTTGGAACAGGAAAGGGAACTCACTGCTTGGGGCTGAATCGATTAGTCGACGTGACGACGCGTCGACATACTAATCCGCATCGTTGAAAGTTTAAAGCCGACGAATGGATAATAACATGTTTTTGTGTTTGTTGTTTTTGGCATCTCATCTCCCAATTGGCCTATTTATAGAGGACTTTCGATGAGCTCATCTACTAGCATGGTCGGACTATAAAGCTCTGTCGAGCACGGAAATGTCTGGCCAAATAGGTGACACACTCTTTGTACATCTGCGAGTGTCTCAGAGTGTGAAAGTGAGCTGCCGCTGGGGATGAAAAGAGCTTTTAGACTCGTTAACTTTAGGCATTCACATTGCCGCTAGTCCGCTCGAAATGAAACAAAATGGAGGACATGTCAGCTGATCAGAAATGCAAATGAAGCAGAAAAGGGGCGGAGTTGTTATTGTCGACATTTCAAAATGGAGTTTTAACAGCTTCCTTATACGGGCCACTGCTTTCATAGGAGGAAAAAAACTAAACAAAACAAATCTAGCACCCGGTAGCCAAAAATCCAAATGTTTTCCAGACTCGACAGTTTCCTCTTGCAGACCTCAGGCATGATAATAATTAGTGGATAAAAAAACAGCAGAAAAAAACCTGGAAGACAAAATGGAAGCACAGGTGGAAGCCATAGAGGCCGGCATGAGGCCGCTAAGTGGAGTGCTTGTCACTAATCAAACAATACCGCTTTCAGCTCTTAAAAGCTATAAACAGCCCGGAGGAATGCTAAATTGTTAATGGTTTGCATTATCAAGCATAAAAAAAAAAAAAAACATGGGTGCCAACTGGAAACCCTGGAGTGGAAGTCAAGTTGAAAGTTGAACACCCCAGAAACATTGACCAAACTCTGAGACTTAGTGCGGGCTAACGCTGTTTGTCTTTTTTTTTTTAATGTCCAGTTGAGAAATCAATAGAGAAAATGCTTATCTTTCAGATGAATGCTAGTTGAAATCAAGGTCTGGTTTCAAATTTGGCATTCAGGATTTCTTGATTCATCAGCGCAACACTCGGCCAACTCCCATTTCCAAGATGGCCACGCCTACAAAATCAGACTTGACGTTCAAAGAGATATTAATGAAATATTGACAGCTTTAACAGATGTTTGGACTATTGCAGGCACCTCTTTTTTCGAATCCTAGTTTATTTCTTTTTCTTCAGGCACACTAGATTTTACTGATTTTTGGAATGTGGGAGGAATTTGCAGAAACTGGAGAAAACTCATAAGCACGGGGGGAAAACATGCAAATGCCGGGAACTCAAACCCAGAATCTCAAAACTGGGAAGCAAACGTGTGAACCACTCGGCTACTGGGTTAGCCCGCTGCTGTAGGAATGGAAGCCCCTCATAAATCAAGCGCTCCCTCTAATACCAGAACAAGAAGACATCAGGTGGAAGAAAAGAAAGACTTTTCAGACTTGTCAAGTCAATCCCCAAAATTAAACCCCAGAGAGAAAGCATTTTAACGATTAAAAGGGAGACTTGCAACCCAAACCATCCATCTACTTTCTGTTGTACTTTTCTTTATTTTGGTCAACGGATAGAGGGACGGATTGTTTTGTGGGTTCACTCCCCTCAAGTCTCCTCTTTCGCAGGTAAATTGCATTCTCTGTCGGGTTTCAGTCAAGAGTTTGACTTCATCCACCGTGCACCCTGGTTCTTGCTCCAAAGTCAGATGGGCTCGACTCCAGCTCCAACCGTGACCCCCAAAGAGGACATTTTAAAAATGTCTGATATGGAAAAGGCATCCCCTCTGGCTAATGTTAGCATGTAGCAACACGGTGCTACTTGATTCAGCCAAACCTTTTCTCACAAGTCACGTCACGAACTGGATACACTAAAAGCCAAAGCCTAAGTTTTCTCCTTCGCCCTAATCAAGGGCTTCTTTTTTTAAAACCGGCCCACCGCATGGCAGTTTAGAGCTCGCAAACACAGTCATTTCTCAAAACGGTACCATTTGTGGCACAAACAGGTACTTTATGGCACAATGTTAAAAACAAACACAAAACCAAAAAAAAAAAAAAAAAAACCAGAGCATTGGCGTGTTGATAAGATGGACGGGAGTGTAGCGCAACCCACTTTCAGGAGCAAGAGAATCACATCAAATGTGTCTTTGTTATTGGCTTCTCGAAGGGGAGATTTCCGAGCCAATCAGACGGCGGCATTGAGAGAGGCTTGGCTCCTGTCGGACGCACAAGCAAACCCCTATTTTACAGCGTGGAGGTCCGCCAGGCGTGTGTGTGCGATGGTCACTGTGGACACCAGCTGCCTCAGCCTATTGTCTTAAGGAATACGCACTGGATGGAAAACAATGGACCTTCATGGGGGGAAAAAAAAGGGGCAGAATCCCAAAACAATTCAACTCCACGCCAAGAAAATGAAGGCTATTTGAAAAATGAAGAAGAAAAGTCCAACAAAAATCCTCTAAATCCACTTTGTGACAAATTGGACGTTTTTAACGGATTCCCTCTGTTCCCCCACATGTATTAATGAAAGTGTCAAGTCAAACGAGCAATGAAAATATTTTCTCCATCGCCCCACTGGAAGCGTCCTTACAAAAACGTACACTGAAAAAAAAAATGTTGAATTTACATCACGCTCCTATTATCTTTTTTTTGGCTGCATATTTCATGACCCCTCCTTTTTTGATGGGGCAATTGATTCAGCATAACATTATCATGATGCTTTGTGAGCGTGTGTGTGTGTGTGTGTGTGACTTAACCCACAAAGTTCTCAGCGCGACACAGTTTGGGAATCCTTGGTCAAGTTGGACTTGTTTTTTCCTCATCATTTACTTTCGAAGCACTTTCCCAAGGGATCGTATTCCCAAAATGTTAAGTTTAATCCAACGGTCATCTTGTTCAAAGAATGAATGAAACATTTTTGTGCTTCCCCTTTGAAAATGAAGTCCCCCGCCTGACAAAAATGTACAGAGTTCTTCTTCAGGTCCTTTTTTTCCCCCCTCTGGGCTGCTCTTTAATTTTCGGGACGATTTGACGTGCGGGGCAACTCTTTGTAGTTGTGAGGCATGTGATTACAAGCGGTGCATACGGTGCCAACATGCGCCCGGCTGACAATGTGTAATTATGCTGCCGTAATACATACGTAGAGCGGCTGTGAAAATAACATTTTCATGTGGATTTCGGTTGTACAGGAAGACATGTTTAATCAACGTTCCACCGGCCTTCCCAAAATGGAATGACACACATTTTTATTGGGGGAGTCACTCTGAAGGTTTGAACTGTACCATCTCTATGTACATTACTGAAATTACCCAATCAAATCCCCTAGATTTTTTTTGTTTGAGATTGTAGACAGGTTTTGTATATATATATTTTGTTTTGTCTCTTGAGGTATGAGTCTAATTTGTTCTGTGACAGTGCTCATAACTCAAAGCACTGGCATCTCAAATCATCTGTGCCCACTGAAATGAATGGAGATGCCACTAATTCGTTCCAAATTTCCACATATTTCTGCTTGCAAGACAGGAAAAAAAAAATAGGCCTAACGACTGCTCGGATCTAGAAAATGTCGTGAGTTGGGTCACTCCTATCTGAAAACACCAAGTTACAAGGCGGCGGTTTTATGAACAGATCAGAAGAGCGATTGCAACAATTATGAAATATACACTTTGGGGTTTTGTGGATTGCACTTCCTTTAACTTTTGTTTTTTGAGTCTACAGATAATTTCTTGTCCGTGCATGACCAAAAGTGCTTCGAATGTGAATTATTTCTCAGTGTACTGATTATTTCTATTTAGCACACTGTTGGTTGTTATGAGTCAGCGTATATGACCCACAAGCATGTCAGGGGAAGTGTGCGGAATTTGAGTACGCATCAGAGCGCTCACACAAGCCACATGTAGCGAACTTTAGGTGCGAAGTGGTCTAAAACGCGGGTCGAGTAGCGCAAGCGCGCCCTAAGACTTCAAGGCCAGTGAGCTTGAAGCATTTAGCACTGATGCAAAGCGCCTGTAAACTCCCAGAATTTTACAGGACATTTCCTCGCCACGCTATTTTACGACTTTGACCTGAAGCGCAGGGAAGTTCAGAGAGGGCTTAGAGTTCCAGTCGAGTCAAACTTCGCCGATGCGTTGACGGCTCTGACTAAAGCGAAGGACTCCTAACGACTGGGTGGAGCGGACAGAT